GCTACAGGGCAGTTTGTAACACATGGGAGTTTTAAACATATAGGATGTTTTTAATGCATGATTAATGTGTGAATGAATTCATGCATGAACTCGTCGTTGTTTTTTAATACTAATCCCTGCGTTTTTATACATGATCCGCGCGCGGAGCATGTATCTAAAAACGGCACTTTAGAAAGGAGGCCGAAAGAGAAGGGGAGAGGCAGGAAAAAAAAGAGAGAAAGAGAGAGAGAGAGAGAGGGAAAGAGAGAGAGAGAGAGAGAGAGAGTGAACGAGTGAGAAGGACAGAATGAGAGAGAGAGAGAGACAGAGAGAGAGGGAAAAAAAGGTGAGAGAGAGTGAGAGAAAGAGAAAGACAGAGAGAGAGAGAGTCAGCATAAAGAGAAAGAGAGAGAGGACATCCTGAGCTGGCCCATGCTGCGCCCGAGGTCGGTGCGCACGGCCTCCCCCTGCCTGTGGCCAGGGGGGGGGCGTGCGCGTCGATCCCGGGGCCACGGACCAGCCGGGCTCCCGACTCTGCGCAGGCGCTGAGGTCGGCCCACTCCGAAGGGGCGGGGAGGAGGAGGAGGAGGAGAATGAGGAGGAGGAGGGGGAGGGGGACGAGGAGGAGGGGGACGAGGAGGAGGAGGAGAAGAATGAGAAGGAGGAGGGGGATTGCGCACGAGGAGGAGGAGGAGGAGGAGGAGGAAGAGGAGGTGGAGAAGAAGAAGAATGAGAAGGAGGAGGGGGATGGGCACGAGGAGGAGGAGGAGGAGGAGGAGGAGGAGGAGGAGGAGGAGGAGGACGAGGAGGGGGAGGAAGAGGAGGTGGAGGGTGAGGAGGAGGAGGAGGAGGAGGAGGTGCACAGCACGGGCCAGCTATGGCTGCTGATGATGCGTCTTGGCGATGCGGCCCGCCGCCGCGGGAAGTGCGCGCGCCAGCCAGGATGAAGGCGAGGAGAAGGGCGAAGTGGAGGGCGGCATGGGGTGGAGGCGTGGACAGGAAGGACGACGGTAGGGGAGGAAGAGAAGGAAGAGGAACTGGAGGAGAACCGGAGGTTCGAGTAGGCCGCCGCAGGAGGGCGCTGAGATGGAAGCAGATAGTCCGACAGGTCGCGAAGACTGCCATATGAACTCCTGAGGTTATCTCAAGACGCATCAGGGTATTGGTCAAGTCATGTCAAGCCTTCAAAGCTAGTGCTGAGATGTCCTACGAAGTTCAGGAAAACGCTCGTCGAGGCCATGACTCCACATTTTTTTGTTTTTTGTTTGTTTGTTTTTTCGATAGAACAAGAGCTCGGCCATCGGCAGCTCTCAGCACAGTAGCCTTCGCACAATCTGCGGCACTCGCTTGTGAAAAAGATCGCTAGGCTGATTGCGGAGAACCAAGCAAGGATCGTAGAGAACACGCAGAAGCACCGCACAGAGAAGCCACTAAGCCTATACGTACGCCACTCATGTGGTCCTATCCGTTCACTCCTCGCCTTCGCCCTCCCCCTGCTTGCCCTTGCGGCGCCTCAGAGTGCGCAGCTGCTTCGTGGGCTTCGGGAACTCGATTCGCACCCCGTCCTTCAAGAGGACTGGCTTGTAGAATGCCGGCACCTCCTCGCACATCAAGGGGCTGTTCCGATAGCGGCTGATGTTCTCGTCGAGGCCCTGGCACACGCTCCAGTGCATAGTGCATGCTTCCTTGGAGAATGAAGAGTCCCAGCCCTCGAAGCCATCAAAGGCGAGTATGAACTCCTCCGCTCGCTCCTGAGACGTCAGGTTCACGAATGCGTATCCGACACCAAGCATATGGGTGAAGTTGATGGGGACGTAGACAAAGTCGAACCACTTCGAGAACCCCTTGGACTCCAGCAGACCGATGAGCTTGTCGCACGTGTAGGAGTGGGGCACGTTGCGCATCATCACCGTGGTCCACCCCTGGGCTTTCGCCTCGGCGCCGCCGCCGGGCGCCTTCGAGGTGACGCGCTGGCCCCCCGCCAGCGCGAGGCCCTTGGGCACGAACGCCTCGGCATGGCTGCGGAGGGGCGAGAACAAGGTGGCCTTGCTGCGGAGGGGCGTGCGCCCGGCAGGGGCGATCGCGCCGAAGTCCAGGCCGAGCCCCGGGGGCGGGGGCAAGCCGATGAGCTTCGTGAGATGCTGCGCGAGGTCGTCCGGGAAGTCTTTCTCGGTGTCGGACACGTCATGGTCCGAGCCACTGCGCGAGTCGACAGTGGCGTCCGCCAAGAGCACCTTCTGCGGCAGGGAGTCCATGGCAGCAGGAGACAGAGCTGACGTGGAGGGGACAGTGAGCATGCCCTCTGCGAGCATGCCTGCGATGTGTTTTGTGTTTGTTTGCTTGAACTTGTGAGAGAGAATGCGATTGCGATCGCGGGCGCAGAGCACCCTTGAGCCAAAAAGGCTACGGAAGGCCATGACTCCACATGAATATTTCTCAAGCTGTCGGCGACGCAGCCTGCGATCTGCAACTGCAGCAAAGCCGACATTCCGACGCCAACGTGGCTGCCTTCCCCGACAACTGACGTCTAGATCCTTGAGCCTTTTGCGCAGCAGGACCTTCTTTGTCAGTGGAGGTGAAAGAAAATTAGTGAACGATGTCTGACAAAGAAATTCGTGGGCGATGCGTGACAAGTGTCCGTTGCCATTTTGCCGAATCGCTGTGTGGGCGGGATAGCACCTTGCAAAATAGAATCGGGGGTCGACGAAATCGCAACAGTCCGATGGGATGTGATTGAGCATGCCAGCTCGTCCAACGAAATCTCTTTTTCCTCTCCTTCGGAGAATTATGCCTCTCACTCCACCCTCCCCAGAGTGGTCTAGGTAGGTCAAAGAAGGTCCGCGCCTAGCTGATGCGTCCATAATGGTGCCGCATCCGCCGCCGAGCCCAAGGATGGATTTCTTACCAAGGCCAAGGGGGGGGTGATTCACCTTCTGACTGAGCATGCCCACAATCTCTTCCCCCTCCATCCTCCTCCATCCTTCTCCGTCTCCTCCAAGCCCCCACCACCCATTCCGACAGCACGTGCCCGACCCCCCAGCGGATCCGAGAGAGGGGGGGGGCATCCCGAGCAAGGGACGACGGCACCGCCGCCGTGGGCACGAGCCCGGCGCCGGTGTCCTCCTGGTGGCGTGGTACCCCGTTTAGGCGGCGCCCTGCCTGGCCAGTCTGCGGCTCGGGGAGGCATCCCCTCTGGCGGTGGCCGGTTCTTCTTCTTCCTTTGGTGCTGTTATATATAAATAGAGAGAGAGAGAGAGAGAGAGAGAGAGAAAGAAAGAAACAACAAAAAAAGCGAGAGAGAAAAAGAGGGAAAGAGAAAGAGAGAGAGAGAGAGAGATGGAGAGTGAGAGAGGGGAGAGAGTGGGAAAACCAACAGGAACCGATACCGCCACTCCACGGACCTCTCCCGGGGCGCGTTCTGACCAGAACTTCGAGGCGAATCCAGCGGTGACGACGAGGGCCTCCCAGGATGCACACAGGGGAAAACGAGGGAAGGGTAGCTGGATGGGTTTGCCTCCTCTGAGGGAGAGGGGAAGAGAGCAAGAGAAAGAGAGAGAGGGAGAGCGGCTGGGGTCGGGCGCAAGGGAGGGCACCTCCGGCACGTCGCCCTCTTCGAGCAGAGCCTCCCCCGCGGGCGCACTGGCGCGCCCCCTTCCGCGAGGCGAGCCTCCTCGGTTCATGCTCATGCTCCGTCTCCGCCCAGGAGGAGGAGGAGGAGGAGGAGGCCCGCGTGTCTCGTCCATGGAAGCCTCCCAGTACGACGCAGGCAGCGCGAGGAGGGCCCGAAGGCGGGCACAGGCTGCGCGCTCTTCGTGGAGCCAAGCACGTGAGACACACACACACACACACACACACACACGCACACGCACACACAGACACACACACACACTCTCGCACACACACACACACTCTCGCACACACACAAACACACACAGAAGACACACACACACACACACTCGCACACACACACAGACACACACACACACACACAGAAGACACACACACACGCACGCACACGCACACACCCACACTCTTGCACACACACACACACAGACACACCTTGAGCTTCGCAGCAGATTGATCCAACACAGCACAGGCAACGAGATCCTAGTCTGGGCCCACACACACAGACACACACACACACACTCGCACACACACACAAAGACACACCTTGAGCTTCGCAGCATATTGATCCAACCCAGCACAGGCAACGAGATCCTGGTCGGGGCCCACCCCACGCAGGAGCGACCCCAGGCAGGAGTGACCGTCGGGCGCGCGGCTCCCGGGGCGTGCGGGTGGGCGGGGGGCCAAGCGCGAACGCGAAAGCCACTGCCGTCGCATCGCGCGCCCAGCTCCCTGGGGACACCGATGTGCCCCCCTCCCCCTCCTCCTCCTCCTCCTCCTCCTCCTCCTCCTCCTCCTCCTCCTCCGCCTCCTTCTCCTCCTCCTCCTCCTCCTCAAGCCTCCATCATCCATCCTGCATCCTCCATCCTCCCTCCTCCTCCTCCTCCTCCTCCTCCTCCTCTCCTCTCTCTCTCCTCCTCCTCCTCTCTCTCCTCTCTCCTCCTCCTCCTCCTCTCCTCCTCCTCCTCCTGCTCCTCCTCCTCCTCCTCCTCCTCCTCCTCCTCCTCCTCCTCCTCCTCCTCCTCCTCCTCCCTCCTCTTCTCTCCACCGCCTCCTTCTCCTCCTCCTCCTTCGCCGCCTCCTCCTCCTCCTCCTACTCCTCCTCCTCCTCCCGCAGCATCGGATACTTTTTGGGGGACACCCGACATGGATACGGGGCAAATGGGCACGATGCCCAAGAACCATTGTTGTACAAAACCGGCAGCGGCCGCTGTTTGGCAGGCAAGCTTCTGTCTCAAATGGGCAGTCTTCTCGGCGATGCCAACGTCGAACCCTGTCCCAGATGGACAGGAACTGCTCTCCGTCGTCGTACCCATCCTTTCCGTATCCATTTCGCTCGTGCCGAAGTCTGGGGAAAAGGTCACCCTTACGCGCTGCCGAACCTCCCCCCTCCCCGCCGTCTCCGCGGTGGGCGAGCCGACGGCCGAGTCGTCCGCGGCCGGGGACGCTGGCCACGACTGCTCGGCGTCGCTGCCCTCGGACCTGAGGCGATTTCTCCGGGGGGGTCGCGCGGGAGGTCCGGGTCGACCCGCACAGGGTGATGGGGGCTGTGCTCTCTGCTGTTTTGTCTTCTGCGTGTGGCGTCACGAGGCTCGACCGAACCAGTGTTTTCGCTTTCGGTTCGTTTTTCGTTTTCCGTAATCGTGTCTCCGATCCGCCTTGCTGCAAAACGAGATCGGAACGAAAACGGCCCACGAGATCGACAGAACAAAACAGCTTAGGCCGACGCCTGCGGCGTCATCCGAACCATGGTGGCCCCAGGCGCCCGAGTCGTCCTCGGAGAACGATCCGAGTCTGAAAACCGCACGATCACCCCGAATGCCCACTGACTCACCACACGGTGCGAGCACCGCACCGCGTGGGGGCTCCCGAAGGAAAGAGGGAAAGGAGGAGCAGGCGCTGGTAGGATGCGACATCCTACCCCTACCCCTACCAATCATCGATTTCCTGAGTCGATGGGAGGCGAGGGTAGGCTTTGGATTCCACGACTTAAATGCTCGACGGATTCCGAATACGACCCCCGCCGCACATCGACTTGTCTGAATATTTGCCCCGCGATGCGCGACGCGCGATTATCTTGGCGACATCATCGCTCTAGTCCAGACAGCGACGCGCGGAGCGCGATTTATCTTCCGCACCCCTGGGATTCGAAGCAGGCTTCCCTTGGAATCGGCGCTGGACCACCCTGCAGGCGCCTCCAGCGCCGCCCCTGGAGCGCCCCGCGCGTCAGGGAGGGGAGCCCAGCGCCGGCCCAAGAAACCCACGCGGCCCTCTGGACGTTGATGTGTGTTCAGCTGGACTACCATGGTTCGGCTTCTCCCCCCGCCCGCATACTTAACCGGTCCACGTCCATGTCTGGTGCCACCGCGGTGCGCCCCACATCGCTGCGACAAAAGGACCAAGCCAACACACGAACTGTTATCAGACATGACCGTGTCAGAGTGTACGCGCTGTGCGGCAACTGATCCTGACCACATTGGCAGCGCGTTGCGCGACAAACCTTGTGGATCCACTGCCCCCGAGCCGACGAAATACGCACATGTGTTCATGACACTCGTTTTCACAATGGCTATGCCAATTTAGCTGGCATAGCGCAAGATGGCCAAGTCTGCTGAAACGCTGTATAACGATTCCTCGTGGAGGCTCATACAACGGGCCTTCCAATATACGTGGATCAGACGCCATAACTTCCAAACCACTCATATACCCGTCTCCTGCACGACACTGGACGGCTACAACTGCTTCAGATACTGATCCTCGTGGGCGGTTAGGTGTGCGTGTGCTGTAGATTCTGGCATCTAGGGTAGTATAGTGACGCGTTGACCCGACCCGTTTCTTCTAGTTGTTCAAATTATGAGCTGCCCCGCTGCAGTGTCAAACTGTGAACGGCGTGCGATGCGCTGAAGCCTGCGTGTTGAAAACCTGGCCCAACCAGCGGGATATGCGACGAAACGACCGGCTTTCGCAAATCTGCCGGATTGCCGAATGTCAGCGATGACCTTGGAAAGAGGCGGGGAAAGATGAGGACGAGTTTTCGAGAAAAGCGCAGGGAAAAATAAGACGAACATGGGAGTGAGGAGGGGAATGGGAAGCAGCAGCAGCAGCAGCCGCGTGAACATTAAGAATCGTCGAGACTCTGGCCGAACACTTGAGTTTTCATGAGCATCGCCTAGGGTGTGCGTTGATGGCTTTGGACAAGGAGCCCTTCGGCAAGGAACCCAGGGTCCGGAGGCCAGCGGACCTCCAATCGAGGCCTGGCCATGGATACCACCACCGCCCTCATCAGACAAGCCACTCTCCCAGGGGTCTGGAGCCCCCCGGGCACACTGCTTCACGAACGCCCACACCGTATCAGCAGCGGCAGGCCGAGAAACATGACGTAGTCCACGAGGATCCCGTAGAGCATCGGCGGCAACACCGCGGAAGAGCGAGGCAAGGCCTACCATCTTATGTGTATACGCGTTGTCCTGCACTCGGCATGTCCTGCCAGGACATAGGTCGAGGCTGGAACGAACGATTTGCCATGGACGAGCCTGATGTTTGTTTCTCCAATCTTCCTGTGTTGGGGGTTCCCGGTTGGAACAGAGCCCTGTGATCGAGTATCCTCCTCCTCCACCTCCCTTTTCCCCCTCTTGCTCCCCAATTCCTGCCTCCCCTCTCCTCGGCTTGCTCTTCCTTATCCGCATGGTTGCGTCTCCTTTTCCCCCCCGTCCTCCGCCCTCCTGCCTCCTATTTCCTCTGTTATGTCCCCTGGTGGAGTTACGCAGGGATCCAGTTGGGTCCCCGGAGTTCCCTGGGGGGCCGCGAAGTGCGCAACTGTCTCCATGGTCGTGGGCTCCTGGGGGGTCTCGCGGGGGGGAGTTCAACGGAGATCCATGTGGGACCTCGCGGCCCCCT